TACTCCTCAGAAAATCTGGTAGCTCCGGGAATCGAACCCGGGACCTCTGGATCTGTAGCCAGGAACGCTGACCACTAGACCACAAATGCGATCAATCTTGGGATCAGTTATGGAAATTGCGATGGAACCAGGAACAAAGGTGGTCCAGTGTATTATACTAGCCTAATAATAAAAAACATCATCAGTATAGTATAACTTATGAAAGCATGTAGGTGGCTGGCAGAACCATGCTCTTAGCACTGTAATTACGGACATGCGTGTGTTTATGGACACACATTGATAGACGATAACCCGCCTACGTGTCATTGTCATGTGAGCAGTGACAATGCTGAGGAGGGGAACACGGACGTTTCGTTAACAGAATTTAACAAAGGAAATCGACGATCTGTGATCCGTCTTGCTGTTAATTACTGTTCGGTATACCGATAATTGTGTGATTGAAAGGAAAATTACGAATCTCTGGAAAGATGAGGAGGGGTGTGAACAGGAGTTGTTGATTACGATGCGAATTCTGGACTGTGACATGCGCAGTTGTTAAGGGACAGATCGAGCAGCGTGTCCCTTACAACAAAAAAATCAGTAACAATGAAATTACATCTAACACGAGCGACATTTATGAATAGAATCTATGCAAGAATGGCTTTAGGTTCAAACGAAAACATTTTATTCATATAGAAAAAGAAAACTAGCATAGAAATGCAATGAGGGCAAGGTGATTACTAGAGAAATAGCATTCGCATATTGAGGGGTGAAGTCCAGCTGGGTCCACTCGGCAAATCGGCCACTGATTGGCCTATTGTATCTGCCTCCGGTGATTATGATTATGGAGAATTTGGTGAAATGAAGATTGGGAAGGGGAAACCGAAGTACTCGGATAAAACCTTCCACAGGACCACTTTGTCCACCACAAATCCCAATTGACCAGACCTGGGCTCGAACCCATGTAGCATGTAACTAACTGTCGTGGGAATTTGTAAACTTCTAATAAAATTACGTTTATATTTTTATGTACTTTTATGTAAGTTTCCTTTTCGGAGTATGTAGCATACTGCGTTAAATGGTAAATAGGCGTAAGTTTATGTGAATAAGTTCGGTTTTGAATCCTGAAACAAATGAAGAACATGCTCATAGCTGCAAGATGTGAGGGTGGTATAAAAATATGTCTCAGAGAAATAATTTGGCGGCAGCATTGTGAATATTGATGCATCCGAGCTTCTGTTTCTGTACGTACCATGTGCTGAGAAAGCATCTGTCTGAACATCTCGGTCTGTTGGTCCGGCCCCTTCTCGTTTCCTTGCGCGTTTAGCTGTTGGAACACATTAATGCTTAACTTAGTAATATGCAGTCATTCTCTTTTTTTGTTTGTATAAGTTGAATCATCTTATTCTTCACCTTTCATGGATTAATCCTTTGGTTTATTCAGATTTAGGGTCAATTTACAAGCTATGAATAACTGGATATTTGTCAGGAGTCCTATGACGCGCATCGCCGTCATCTTAAAGCCCCTTTCTAGGCAGAAACACACGTATACATGGGCGCCGCCAGGAATTTTCTTCAAATGGTTGGGAAGAGCTAGAAACTTTGCCTAGACACTTACGTTCAAGCCGCGTAAAGGTTCGGCCACACAGAGCGCTACGCTATGTTCGCTACATACGCTACGTACGCTGTGTACACTCTGCGACGCAGGTAACATAGCGTACGTAGCGTACAGAAGTCTGTGTGGCCAGTCACATTGGCAATAAAGGGAGATATTTTTCTGTTCGGATAGCGAACATAGCGTACGTAGCGTGCGTCGCGTACGTAGAGCTCTTTGTGGCCGAACATAAGGATATTTATACCGGCATAGAGTCGTAGGTCTCTATACTAAATCACAGGCCGGTCATAGTAGACCCGCGGTCTAGGGCATGAACTGTCTTCGCCCGCTCGAACGCTGGCATCATGTGTTCCAATCCCGCTCAAGGCATGGATGTTTGGTGTGTGTATAAATTTATTCTGTATTTGTGTTGTCCTTTGTTTAGGTAGCGGCCTTGCAACGGGCTGATCACTCGTCCAAGGAGTCCTGCTGTCTGTCAAAATGATTACGGAACTGAATAAAAGGCCTGGGACCTGAATGGGCCGGAAGAGCCATTGAAAAATAAATACTGAAATATATATAGCGACACAAACTCTGTCCAAGTTTCTCCTATTTTTATTTGGTGATGTCGGTATTTTATACGGTTACTTCTTCCTTTCAATTACCATTTTTTAAAGAATCCAGGTGGAACAGGTGCTGGGTCCCCCACCCCCCGCCGCCGGCGCCTGTGCATTGAAATATGTCTATGCCTATACCCGCCACCTCATTCTCCTCGATTTGATCACCAACATTCTTGATAGGCGGACCAGTCCATTGAAAGATCTCTATCATACCAACACAGCAAAGTCGAAGAGAAGAAATGCGTGCAGCAGCAAACGTTCCCAGGGACCCCAGTACCATACATTCATTCATTAGTGACTCTACCGCCCTCTGTTGGGCCCCGGCCTCTTCTTCAGTTTCGTAAACTCCTCGAACGAGTGACCATCCCGTCGCAAAGCTGCTACCTACACACAGAATAAACGCACACACAAATATCAATGACTTTGAGTGGGATTCGAACCCATGCCGACAGTTCATGCCGCGCGGCCACCGTGATCGCCAGATCCCAGTACCGGACAGCCTAAATCTATATGAGCCTCATGCTCTGAGTTCACGATGATTAAAAAAAAACAGAACTGTAATTTTTATGCGTAATTTTCTGAGCGCAAAACAGAGTGTTTCGCTCAAAGGCGAGAATATGGATGGGTGGCACAGGAGGAAAAAGTGCCCAAGATTAAAATAATGTGATGTAACAGGGGAACGAAGAACGTTGCATAATAAATTACTTGTCTTACTCTTACGCATATGGTAAGGCAAATTTGTTCTGTTACTTAGCACCGAAAACCGGGATAGCGTAGCCAATGTAGCGACTGGCTACGAGCTGGATGACAATGGGGCCGGAGTTCGAGTCCCGGTAGGGTCAAAAATTTTCTCTTCTCCACATTGTCCAGACGGGATATGGGACCCACCCAGCCTCCCATAAAAAGGGTACCGTGGGCTCTTTCCCCTGGGGTGAAGCGGCCGGGGTATGAAGCTGACCAACTAGCGTCGAGGTCAAGAAATGTGGATCTATGCATCCACTCCCCCATACGTTTTCATGGTGTAGTGCTTAATGAGTTAAGCACAGGGACAGCCTTACCTTTACCTTACTTAAGCACCACGTCAATAAGGCGTATATCACAGTATTGACGCACTTTACCCTCACTGCTAGATGGAGTAAACAATGTGATTCATACTTCAGCCAATTTTACCCTTTACGCACTTGCTAGAAGGTTGTGTGGGCTGCAGAACTAGTCCGGGCACTGTTAAATTAAACATGTTTAAATGGGCCAATACTATGAGCAGAAACCAATGCGTAATAAATACTTCCACATCTAATGAAAGACTTGAAACTTCACTGCAAATAAATGACAAGATGGAATGGACATTCAACGCTCTTACACCGTCAGCAATTGATAATGTCCACACTAGCGCCTAATGTTTTTGTATTGCTAGTGGGGAGGGACTAAGTCCCTTGTACTGCGGCCACTTCTGGCCTATTGTACCAGCCCCAGATGATAGGTGAGGGTGATTGTGGAGCAATTGGTGGAATAAAGATTTGCAGGGAAACCGAAGTACCCGGAGAAAACCTGCCCCAGCGCCACTTTGTCCACCACAAATCCCACTTGACCAGACCCGGGATCGGGAAGCCAGCGACTAACCGCTTGAGCTATGGCGCGGCCACACACTAGCGCCTAAGCCTCCTGTAAAGCTTCGAGTCTGTTCCATGTTGACAGGTCTGATTGCCCGAGAATAGTTCTCACAATACTGTGGTGCAGGTGTAAGTATAATATTAAAATGAATCTTAGATAAGTTATTTGTGAAAAGGATAAATTGGCCCATTGTGGAGTCCGGTTTCAGGTTTCTGTGACAACAATGACTAACTCTGGAATTTCATAATTATAGGTAATTTTCTAAATAGCTGAATAATTATTAATTCCTAAAGAATTCCTAAAGAAGTTATATGCTTAGTTGTAAATAAAGTTTCGATATCTCTGTTGCACGCATTCAGATAAAAACACTGGCTGTTTAGTAATCACAGTTCTGACAGAAATATCTCACAACACAACATATAAAAGGGAAAGATTTTACTGATTATTATATAGATTACGAATTATTAATTTTGACAACGCAGTCAGCACATATACCATCCAAACAGCAACGACATATCTAAGGAAAAGTTGTCAACTCGTGAGCCATCATTAAGCATAATTTCTTCCGGGGTTAGTACAAACATCATGACGAAACAGATTAGTCTATAAGTTTAAACGATTCTGAATATGCCACGAAAATACGTAGCATTGATGATTTAATGTTATGTAAATGTCAGGGTAAATAAACTCAAGAAGATCTGCTTCATATAACTTTTGTCCATTTATAACGGCACAGAAAATATTTCGTTGTTACAGGTTTTGAGGACAGAGAACTCAGTTTCTTTCATTGTATGATAAAGTTGTGCGTCAATAAATCTGCAACTAGAGATTTTTATGTTTATATGCACATGTATGTGAACAAAACTGCAACTGAAATATCACACGCAAGAAAGCAGATCACAGTTTAACAATATAGGGCACGATAGTAAACCCAATTTGCTACGTAAATCCCACACCCATTACTGGATTTCACCTCCGAGCTATGTATGTAATAAAACAAACCTCAAAGGGTATTTTTGGTAGATGATATACAACTACACAAAGCCCCCTCATAGACATTTTACAGTATTAAACAGCCAGGAGTGCTCTTTCCTGTTTTGTGTGGACACCCAGAAATAAGATCAAAGGACAGTATACGTGAAACCTGGATGTTTTTTTCCTCTCCGGCAGGTTAATTCTGAAAATGCTGCTAAAACTAAGGAATATGGCAACATAGTGAATACGTCGTCGTTTAATTACTAACATTCACAGTGATCACAAACCTTGGGGCAGAGTAGTACTGCTAATTCTTCACAATGTTCCAGTATGAAATATTTGTAAAGGAAACATCTTATTTAACAAAAAAATTACAAGGAAACCGTTACGTTTAGGCACAATGCCTTAAATAAAAATAAATCTATATCTAAAATTCTGTGTTTCTACTGAACAAAGTTTCTGGTACTGCCATAGTCATGTCAAGTGGACATTTTCCAAAGCCAAAAATTTAGTAACACAGAACGTTTTACGGCGAGAGGTTGCTATCCTTACGTCCTTACATGCAGAAGTACGTCCATTTGCCGGTTATCCGCGGCTGTTTCTTTGCAGCTACCATTCGTATTTGGAGTTTGTGTTGTTAACAGTTCATATCGGATGAGTGCTGCTGCTGTTTTTATACGCGATCGGAACGATTTTTTTTTAAATAAGCTTGTTAGCTTCCCCATCTTTGTTTGTCCACCCTTCTGTCAACATATAACAACTCGAGAACAACTAAAGGCCTTTTCATGAAATTTTCTATTTTCGAGTCTCACATACACTCCAGTTTTGGGTAAAATCAGACAAGATAACGAATACTTTACGTGAAAACCCGCATGTGTCCCTGTGTATATCTTGAGTGTAACTCACTAAATAAACAAAGAGAAAAATATTTCGCACAAAAACCTATAAAAAAGTATAAAATACACTTTCATGCCCCGTGTATTTCCTTCGTAAATCTTAACGGCTTTTAATATAAATCAATTATTAGAACTTCCTTGCAAAATGAAGGAGAAGAAGATTTTGCACTTGCCCGCTCGTCCGTTCCGACTGTGTTATCTTAATATGACGCATATACCCGTTGCTAGGCAACAGTTCGGTAAATACATTCTCCCGGGAGCCAAGGCGCGCAATAATAGTGCGTCTATTGTTAGACAACGGATTAATAAACATACTTCCTTAACAATATAGGCTGTTTTTTCTGCGTGGTCAATATTTACCTAGTCGTTGCTTAGAAACGGTTTTCATAACCCCGTTATTCTCTTGTTGCGTGCGTGTATTGCTTAATAAAGGTTGTTTATCTGGCTTCAGAGTTCTTGCATGGAGCAAATATGCCACATTATTTATGGCAGAGAATCAGGCATCTCAGATCACAAATTGGAAATATAGAGACAATAATAGAACGAACGCTCCAGATTAGTTACGCTGCCCCTATATCTCCCAACTTCATGCCGCTAAAATCTGTGTTCTGTGTGTTGTATCTTGAAATGTGTATAAATACTAAATGTAACAGATGCTGATCTCGACGGACTACTGGACACGTCAGATCCGTCTGGACAGCTGGCACTCTAGTAGCTTAATCTTACCGGTATCATGAACACATGTCCTGGTGGTCCTGGTATACCATTGATTCCAGCAATACCGTCTCTACCCATTTGCCCTTTGGGACCAGAAGGGCCAGGAGCACCGGGAGGACCCATGTAGCCCCTGGGACCAGGAGGGCCCCTTATTGTGATGTAGCGATATCTCGAATCGCTCCCAAGGCCGCCTGTGTACTCTTCTCCCGAACCTTCCTCCTGCGAAGAAAAATGGTAGCGTCTGTGGTTACTCTGAAACGTCTTTGAGTGCTGGTCATCATCTCATGTCGTTACATCATCATTATAAATTTCCTAGATTCTATTTTAAACATACAGCGGTGACCAAGATCACCATTTCGGAGGTCTCGTCGAGTGCACAGGAATGTTGCCTACTCATGATATGACGTACCCTCACAGATGTTTAGCTAAAGCTTTCAGACAGAGTTCCAACACCTACTGCCTACCTAACCTCCGCCCTGCTTGCGTCCATTTCGCCATTACACGTACTGTCAGTACAGCAGTTCCATTGTTAATCTCGGGTGTAATGGACACTGATTTTCTCGAAGCTCATTTTAGGCCAGTACCTTTTGTAGGTGGGAGCCGGGATAGCTCAGTCGGTATAGCGAATGGTCAGAGTTCGAGTCCCGATAGAGGCAAGAATTTTTCTCTTCTCCATGTCTTCCGGACTGGTTCTGGGGCCCACACAGCCTCCTTTCCAATGGGTACCGGGGTTTTTTTTTCCCCAGGGGTAAATCGGCCGGAGCGTAAAGCTGACTACTCACCTCCAGCTAGCACCGAGGTCAAGAAACTTGGATCTATACACCTACTTCCCATACACCTTCATGGCGTAGTGCTTAATTATTTTACCTTACCGTTTTTAGGTTGAGAGACGTTGTGACACAATTATATGGACTGAATTGGAAGAAATGGCTATAGATACGTAACATTGACGTCACAATAGGAATATAGTATATGCCGATGGATGCAATATAAATAAGCAAAGGACAGGACTGTATACTTGAAAGGATTGTTTGTAAACAAACGTGACAAATCGAAACAGATCAGAGGTTTGGGATACAGGACGTAAATAAAATAAACGCAGTTTTCTTGTAAATTTAGATAGAATATTCATTCAAAAAAACTTGACATTTTCCTTTTTCTATATAATCATTGGGGGCACGCGGTAGCGTAGTTCGTTGAGGCACTATGCTACAAGCCGGAAGGTCGCGGATCGAATTCCGATGAAGTTGGTTTTTTCAATTTCCCTAATCCTTCCAGCCGCACTGTGGCCTTGGAGTCGATTTACACGATGTGTCGAGGATCGGTTAGGGCTCTTATTTTTTTTTTTATTTTGCCCTGCAATGCCATCTATTGGCGAGTTGTGGCGTTATGATTCCTGAAGTTTCAGCTGTGGCTGTCTATAATTTCAAAGTGCAAGCATCGCTGCATCATGTGTTCTGACCTTGAATGTAACAGTACTGTTCTGACGCTCGTCGGAAAATGGCGGTTCAACAGACAGCCAACATCAAATTTTGTTTGAAGTTAGGCAAAACAGCCGGAGGCGTACGAAATGATGAAAAGTGTGTACGGTAGTGATTGTTTGAGTCGCTCGAACATTTTTCGATTTTATGCTATATTTCATGACGGCAGGGAGGACATTGAAGACGCTCCGCTCCACGTGCATCAAAGCCGAGAACAAGTCGCACTGAAGAAAATGTGAAAAAAGTGACCGAAATCCTTGCATCAGACAGATGTGTTTCTGCAAGACTCACCGAGGAGCTTTTGGGAATCAATATGAGCCTCTCACAAAGCAGCAGAGTGCAGCGTGGTTCAGCCCAAAGAAGCCGAAACCAAAGAAAGTGCGCATGCAAAAGAGTCGAGTAAAGACACTGCTAACCGTTTTCTTCGACTCTAAAGGAATCATTCACAAGGAATTTCTGCCAGAAG